CCCACAACAAGCCCCCCCCCCACCCAACATCCCACCCCACTGGGCAAGCCCCACACAAGCCAACCCCCAGGCAACTGCACAGTCTTACCCCTTCAACAGCCGCTCACAGGATCTAGAGTGGCGCACAGAAAGGTAGAGTTCCTAGCATCCTTTTCTTTCTTCAGCTGCTGACGTGGGAACCTGCACCATCTTTAGCCGGTAGAATAGTGATAGAAATGTAGCCCTGTCATCCCACCCCACTGGGCAAGCCCCACACAAGCCAACCCCCAGGCAACTGCACAGTCTTACCCCTTCAACAGCCGCTCACAGGATCTAGAGTGGCGCACAGAAAGGTAGAGTTCCTAGCATCCTTTTCTTTCTTCAGCTGCTGACGTGGGAACCTGCACCATCTTTAGCCGGTAGAATAGTGATAGAAATGTAGCCCTGTTAGTCTGGTGTAGCTGAAACAAAATACAGGACTGTATTTTGTTTCATCTTTAGCCCGACACAGCCATTCTTCACATAGTGGATGGTGATATTAATGCAAATCTTTAGACCCACATTTAAAACAAAACCTGGCTGATTAAATTATCTTTATGGTAACTAGCAAATCCAACACAGGCCAAGGCAGTCAAAATAAGATGGCTTGGGCCTAGGATGATGGGGCCTGGGCTTTGAGGAAGAGGAATTCTGTCTTAAAGAGTAGGAGGAAGGGAATTTTAGAGAGAAAAAATGGAGGATTCATCAAACTCTCTGCTCACACAATAGGATTGGTATTACTGTGTTTTGAAAGACCTGCCTTTAAACAGGCTGTGTCTACACTGGCAGGAATTTCCGGAACTGCTTAAAACGGAATACTATTCCGTTTTCAGTTTTTCCAGAAAAGGAGCGTCTACATTGGCAGGCTGCTTTTCCGGAAAAGCTCTTTCAGCTTTCAGTGGGTCTGGCCCAGGAAAGCTCATCATCTAATAAACCATCTTGTTAGTCTTTAAAGTGCTACATAGTCCTGTACATACATTTAATGTGTGTCAATTTCCATGAGAATCAAACAGGTTATAGCAAGAAATCTCAAAGCTTGCATCCAAAG